TACTCTTCTCTAAGCTTTCCTGTCTTCTCATGGTGTGTCGACCGTCACCACCCCCAGCTCCTTCAAGGTCAATCCAGTCACTTCAAGGATGCTATCCATCCATCTTGCCCTGGGTCGGCCACCTCTTTCCTTTTCCTTCCATTTTCCCCAGCATCATATTCTTCTCTAAGCTTTCCTGTCTTCTCATGATGTGTCTGCCATCAACACCCCCAGCTCCTTCAAGTTCAAGCCAGTCACTTCCAGGATGCCATCCATCCATCTTGCCCTTGGTCAGCCCCTCTACCTTTTACTTCCATTTTCCCAAGCATTATTGTCTTCTCTAGGTGACCTCATGCACCAGCCCACACCAGAGCTCACTGTCAGCCATCACCACTCCCAGCTCCTTCAACATCAAGGATGCCATCCATCCATCTTGCCGTGGATCGGCCCCTCTTCCCTTTTCCTTCCATTTCCCCCAGCATCATTGTCTTCTCTAAGTGACCTCATGCACCAGCCCACACCAGAGCTCCCTGTCAGCCGTCACCACCCCCAGCTCCTTCAAGGTCAATCCAGTCACTTCAAGGATGCCATCCATCCACCTTGCCCTTGGTCGGCCCCTCTTCCTTTTTCCTTCCATTTTCCCCAGCATCATTGTCTTCTCTAGGTGACCTCATGGACCAGCCCACGCCAGAGCTCCCTGTCGGCCGTCACCACCCCCAGCTCCTTCAAGGTCAATCCAGTCACTTCAAGGATGCCATCCATCCACCTTTGCCCTTGGTCGGCCCCTCTTCCTTTTCCTTCCATTTTCCCCAGCATCATACTCTTCTCTAAGCTTTCCTGTCTTCTCATGATGTGTCGACCATCACTACCCCCAGCTCCTTCAAGGTCAAGCCAGTCACTTCTAGGATGCCATCCATCCATCTTGCCCTAGGTTGGCTCCTTTTCCCTTTTCCTCCCATTTTCCCAAGCATCATACTCTTCTCTAAGCTTTCCTGTCTTCTCATGGTGTGTCGACCGTCACCACCCCCAGCTCCTTCAAGGTCAAGCCAGTCACTTCAAGGATGCCATCCATCCACCCTGCCCTTGGTCAGCCCCTCTTCCTTTTCCTTCCATTTTCCCCAACATCATACTCTTCTCTAAGCTTTCCTGTCTTCTCATGGTGTGTCGGCCGTCACTACCCCCAGCTCCTTCAAGGTCAATCCAGTCACTTCAAGGATGCCATCCATCCACCTTGCCCTAGGTTGGCCCCTTTTCCCTTTTCCTTCCATTTTCCCAAGCATCATTGTCTTCTCTAGGTGACCTCATGGACCAGCCCACACCAGAGCTCCCTGTCCGCCGTCACCATCCCCAGCTCCTTCAAGGTCAATCCAGTCACTTCAAAGATGCCATCCATCCACCTTGCCCTTGGTCGGCCCCTCTTCCCTTTTCCTTCCATTTTCCCCAGCATCATTGTCTTCTCTAAGCTTTCCTGTCTTCTCATGATGTGTCGGCCGTCACCACCCCCAGCTCCTTCAAGGTCAATCCAGTCACTTCTAGGATGCCATCCATCCATCTTGCCCTTGGTCGGCCCCTCTTCTCTTTTCCTTCCATTTTCCCAAACATCATTGTCTTCTCTAGGTGATCTTATGCACCAGCCCACGTCAGAGCTTGCTGTAAGCCGTCACCGCCCCCAGCTCCTTCAAGGTCAATCTAGTCACTTCAAGGATACCATCCATCCATCATGCCCTTAGTCAGCCCCTCTTCCCTTTTCCTTCCATTTTCCCCAACATCCTACTCTTCTCTAAGCTTTCCTGTCTTCTCATGATGTGTCGACCGTCACCCCCAGCTCCTTCAAGGTCAAGCCAGTCACTTCAGGGATGCCATCCATCCACCTTGCCCTGGATCGACCCCTCTTCCCTTTTCCTTCCATTTTGCCCAGCATCATACTCTTCTCTAAGCTTTCCTGTCTTCTCATGATGTGCCAACCGTCACTACCCCCAGCTCCTTCAAGGTCAATCCAGTCACTTCAAAGATGCCATCTATCCACCTTGCCCTTGGTTGGCCCCTCTTCCCTTTTCCTTCCATTTTCCCCAGCATCATTGTCTTCTCTAGGTGACCTCATGGACCAGCCCACACCAGATCTCCCTGTCCACCGTCACCACCCCCAGCTCCTTCAACATCAATCCAGTCAAGCCAGTCACTTCAAGAATGCCATCCATCCACCTTGCCCTTGGTTGGCCCCTCTTCCCTTTTCCTTCCATTTTCCCAAGCATCATTGTTCCGTGGTCAATGTTGCTACTTGGTCCTTATACAGATTCCTCAGGAGAGAGACAAGGTGGCTTAGTATGCCCAGACCACCAAGAACTTGCCACGATTTATTCTGATATTATAGCCTTTGACTGTGTGGACCAACCCTTATGTGTAATTGGGAAGAGGGAGTGCTCTGGCATTCCAGTTTACCCAGGGTGCATCTGAACCCAGGAGAAGAAGCTCTGTTAATGGGACTTGGTCATTAACGCTTGGACACTTGGAGACCGAGGGACAAAGTATTGAGCCGGGCTTTAGCACAGCAGTTTACCTGCCAGCTGCAGTAAATCCTGCCAACCGAAAGGTTGACAGTTCAAAACCCGGGTCGAGGCAACACATGGAAATTAAAGAGTGGCACAAATTATTATTTATTGTCGAAGGCTTTCATGGCCGGAATCACTGGGTTGTTGTAGGTGTTTTCGGGCTATATGGCCATGTTCTAGAGGCATTCTCTCCTGACGTTTCGCCTGCATCTATGGCAAGCATCCTCAGAGGTAGTGAGGTCTGTTGGAACTAGGAAAATGGGTTTATATATATGTGGAATGACCAGGGTGGGACAAAGGACTCTTGTCTGCTGGAGCTAGGTGTGAATGTTTCAACTGACCACCTTAATTAGTGGGTTGTTGTAGGTTTTTTCGGGCTATATGGCCATGTTCTAGAGGCATACTCTCCTGACGTTTCGCCTGCATCTATGGCAAGCATCCTCAGAGGTATTATTTATTATTATTTATTTACAATATGTATAGCCCGCCTTTCTCAGCCATACGGCGACTCAAGGCGGGTTACAGATTGGCACATGAAAGTGCCATTTATTTATTTACTTACTTATTTATTTACTTTATTTGTATACCGCTGTTCTCAGCCCATAGGCGACTCACAGCGGTTAACAACAAACAGCAAAATACAGTACACGGTAAAAAACAGTAACATCATAACACCTAAACAATCCTATATAATTAACAACAATAGCCATTCACTGGCATCTCATCACTGAAAACATGATCCAAATCCGTCATCCATTGTTCCATTCCTATGTTCATTACACTCATTGCACTAACTATTCAAACGCCTGCTCGAACAACCAGGTCTTCACTTTTTTGCGGAATACCATTAGCGATGGGGCTAGTCTAATGTCCGTAGGAAGGGCGTTCCACAGCCGAGGAGCCACCACCGAGAAGGCCCTATCTCTCGTCCCCGCCAGCCGAGCTTGAGAAGCAGGCAGGATCAAGAGCAGGGTCTCCCCGGAAGATCTCAAAGTCCTGGTGGGTTCATAGGCCGAGATGCGGTCGGATAGGTAGCTTGGGCCGGAACCGTTTAGGGCTTTAAAGGCCAACGCCAGCACTTTGAATTGAGCCCGGTAGCAAATCGGTAGCCAGTGGAGTTGGCGCAACAGGGGGGTTGTATGCTCCCTGTGTGCCGCTCCTGTTAGAATCATGGCTGCTGAACGTTGGGCCAATTAGAGCTTCTGAGCCGTCTTCAAAGGCAACCCCACGTAGAGAGCGTTGCAGTAGTCTAAACGGGATGTAACTAGAGCGTGGACTACCGTGGCCAAGCCAGACTTCCCAAGGTACGGGCGCAGCTGGCGCACAAGTTTTAATTGTGCAAATGCTCCCCTGGTCACCATTAAAAGCAATCAACATTTCAATATAAAACAAAAATAAAAACCGTTAAAGCATATAATCACTGGTGTCATCCTGTTAAAAACGTTATCCAGTCACATCATCTGGCCAATCTGTGTTCATCATTCATAGTTCCGCGTTAACTATTCTGCTGCATTCTCAAGAACTTGCTCAAAGAGACAGGTCTTTACTTTTTTCGGAAAGTCAGGAGGTAGGGGGGCGATCTAATATCCCATAGCTGGGGGGCCACCACTGAGAAGGCCCTGTCCTTCATCTCTGCCAGTCGCACTTGCGAGGCAGGCGGGATCGAGAGCAGGGCCTCCCCAGACGATCTTAACCTTCTAGATGGTTCATAGGAGGAGATACGTTCGGACAGGTAAGCTGATCCGGAATCGTTTAGGGCTCTATAGGCCAACGCCACCACTTTGAATTGTGCTTGGTAGCAAATTGGCAGCCAGCGGAGCTGACACAACAGAGGAGTAGTGTGTTTCCCTGAGTGCCACTCCTGTTAGTAACCTGGTTGCCGCCCTTTGTACAATTTGAAGTTTCTGAACAGTCTTCAAAGGCAGCCCACGTAGAGTGTGTTGCAGTAGTCTATACGGGGATGTAACCAGAGCATGGACTACCGTGGCCAAGGTACGGGCACAGCTGGCGCACATGTTTTAACTGTGCAAATGCTCCCCTGGTCACCGCCGAAAATTGGGGTTGCAAGCTCAGCGATGAGTCCAGGATCACACCCAAGCGGGTGTGACTTGCATCTCCAAGTTTCGGGGGGTTGTAAGCCCATCCAACACTCGGGTTCTTTCACCACAAACTCTGAAGCAGAAGTATCAGATTTGTGACCCTCCAGATGTTTGGGCCTCCAGCTCCCAGAAGCCCCTATTGCCAGCTTGTCCAGTGGCCAGAAATTCTGAGAGCTAATGTCCAAAATGTCTGGAGGACCACAAGTTTGTCATCGCTGCTCAGAAGTATAGATTAGAAGGAGAAATATGAAGTCACCCAGTGAGACTTAGGACCAGGTGAAGAATCGAATGCAAGTCTCACTCGGTATGAATCCATCTCTCTGAGCACACCACCATGACCCAGCGTCCCATTTACCTGATCTTCTCCCCACAGGATTCACCAACTACATGCGCAGTCCTGCTGGGGACATTTTCAATCCGGAGCATTATCACGTCAACCAGGACATGACGCAGCCTTTGAGTCACTACTTCATCACCTCTTCCCATAACACCTACCTCATGGGAGACCAGCTGATGTCCCAATCCAGAGTTGACATGTACGCGTGGGTTCTCCAGTCCGGATGCCGCTGTGTAGAAGGTAAGGGGCCCGTCACAAATCAGGGATAGACCCTCTTGGGAGGCAGGTGGACTCCTCACCTCCGACCGCAGATCAGGAAGGGCAGAGGACTGTGCAGTGCTTAGGCGATCCCTCGTTGGACGAGTAAGATGGTCTCCCATTATGGGTTTCCTTGTGGGTCCGTATGTGGCTGTGGAGCCCTCTTCTTGACCTGCATCTTCTCCCTTCCGCAGTGAGGAGGGCATTGGTTTCCAGGTGGAAGGCTGTCCCGGTTGGGGTTGGCTTGATGCGCCTTCCTCCTGGCACATTTCTCTCTTTCACCCTCCACTCGTGCCTCCTCGAATTCCACAGCACTGCTGGTCACAGCTGACCTCCAGCTGGAGCGCTCAAGGGCCAGGGCTTCCCAGTTCTCAGTGTCTATGCCAGAGTTTTTGAGGTTGGCTTTGAGCCCATCTTTCAATCTCTTTTCCTGCCCACCAACATTCCCTTTTCTGTTCTTGAGTTTGGAGTAGAGCAACTGCTTTGGGAGACGGTGGTCAGGCATCCGGACAATGTGGCCGGTCCAGTAGAGTTGATGGCGGAGGACCGTCACTTCAGTGCTGGTGGTTTTTGCTTCTTCCAGCACACTGAAGTTTGTCCGCCTGTCTTCCCAGGAGATTTGCAGGATTTTCCGGAGGCAGCGCTGATGGAATCGTTCCAGGAGTTGCATGTGACATCTGTAGACAGTCCACGTCTCACAGGCATAGAGCAGGGTTGGGAGGACAATAGCTTTATAGACAAGCACCTTGGTCTCCCTACGGATGTCCCGGTCCTCAAACACTCTCTGCTACATTCGGGAAAATGCTGCACTTGCAGAGCTCAGACGGTGTTGTATTTCGGCGTCGATGTTGACTTTGGTGGAGAGGTGGCTGCCAAGGGAGCGGAAATGGTCAACATTTTCTAATGTCACTCCTGTGCCCACAAAGACATACAGTGTCCATTCCAGGACCACCCGCAATAAGTGCAAGCCCATGAAGTAGGGATGCTTTTAATATATATACATTATTTTATAGATGATCTTCTTACCCGCACATCCCTACCCACCTCCCAGCCCATCTCAAGGGCACCTGCCTGCCCCCCTGGCCCCCACAGACCCCTGCAGAGCCTCCGGAGCCACGCGGGCAGCAACAGACCAGTGAGGCCGGCCTTCCCTGCTGCACCTTAGGCAACCGCACTTCTGGGGTCTGTGGAGGCCAGGGAGCCAGGCTTTCCCCTCCACAGGATTGCAGGGTTAGAAGTTTCAAAACTCCTGCTTCCCGCCCCCCCCCCCCCTCCGCCCAGCTTGCTGGTGATTGGCTGGCCGGATAACACCTGGGAAGAGTCTCGGCTCCCCCCACCCTCGCCAGGACCAATCATAGGGCTCCTCTGCTGCGCGGGAGCCTATCAGGAAGCTCCCACTGCTCTGGCGCTTCGGCGAATCAGGAAAAGGGAGTCGGAAAAGAAACAAAGTGTCGATGATAGGATTATGGAATTCCAATGTCCTGAGTTTCCTGCGTCCGGGAATTGGCCAGCTAGAGAAACCAACTTTTATTGTTATGTGATGGGTGGGTGATTGGTGTTGATTACTTGATCCGGGTTTTCCTGCGATGATCAGATAAGGCACAAAGGGGAGGCTTGGGGTGGATGTTTGCTATGAAAACTTTTGAAAGAAGTAAACAAAGTTGGGGAAGGCGACCTCCTGAGAGTCGTCTCGCTCCCATTGTGAAATGATCAAAAAGTTTGCCAAAGGAAATTCCAGTTTGACGGTCCCAACTCCGAAATCAAATAGGAATTTCAAGTTCTATTGTCCATGCAAAAGTTCCAAGATATGGGTTTTTTTTGTGATTGCTGATTGCCCTTTTCAGCGCCAAAGGGCAACTTCCTCGTTGGCTCCCCCTTCTCGAAGAGGGGAAGGGGGAAGGGGTTTGTGAGGGAAAACACATGGGGAAATATAGGAATCCAAAGAAATTCGTATCAACCATCCCCCCCCCCCCCCCGCCAGAGAATTTGATTAAAATGATTTTATTAAAGCATGTGTCCATAGTTCATACTGGGGAAGTTCAGATGTGAAAAGGAGTTCATTAGAGCCAAAAAGAAATTGAAGAAAGTCCAAGAGTCATAAAAAGGTGCTTGATGATCTCCACTGAGCCAAGGAATGGATTCTTGCAGCGCCAAGATCAAGCTGGTCCTTAGTCCTTGGGAAACTATAACTTCCTCCAAGGACTGGGACCCCAAGGCCAGGCTCTTCCCTGAAAGCCTCATGGGGTCCTTGTTGTTGCTAGTGTCTTGGCAAATTGAC